ACTTTGGGTAGGTGGGTTGAGGAGAGGTAAAGGGAAAAGCATAAGGAAAGGTGTGGTGCTACATTCAAGGGAGATGAGGAGATGGGCTTAGCTTCTGGTAGAAGGACAACTGAGCAAGACAGAGGCCCCGGATGCCCATTTGGGGGCTGGCTGTGTTCTAGTGAGTGGTGGGAATCTGTGTTGAGGAGGGGTGGGAACAGTCAGCAGAGGCCCCCAGGACCCCTGCCCCTTAAGGAAGAGTGTGGAGGTTGTTTGGCAGGTGGCCTGGAAGTGGAGGAGGCTGGAGTCTTTCTAGAACATTCAGCTAATAACTCACAGAACACTTCTATGAAGCCATTACCCTCAGGATAAAGTCCCAACTCCCAAACGTGGCTTCAAGGCCCAGGGGAACCTGGACCCTGCTGCGGTCTCCTGCCCCCGCCACGCAGCACTGCGGCGGGTCTGAGCGTCTCCTGCTGCAGGCACAGGCGTAAGCTCTCTAGCCTCGGGCCTTCGTGTAGCCTGTCCTTTCTTCCTTCCTCTCCCTCTTCACCAGGCTCTCTCCCGCTCATCCTTTAGATTTCAGTGGGGGATAGGATTTCCTTCTGCAGGCTCTGAATATACCCTGTACTTGTCCCTTCAAACTCTTGACGATGCTGGTCGTTTCTCCCCCCAACCCCAGATCAGGGGGCGACGGGGGAGGAGGGGATGGGCAGTGTGTCTCTTTTGTTCTCTGGTGTGTATACCCAGTGCCCAGCACAGGGCCCGGCCTGGAGCAGAAGCCCCAGAAATGTTGGGAAAACTGGCCTTGATCTGAGGAGAGATGGAGAGCTGCTCTGGGGGGAGCTGGGGTTTGCAGAGGAGAACCACAGTAAGAGCTAGTCACTGGCGGGTGAGCCCAGGGAAGAAGGAGATGGGCTAGGAGGAGCTTCGGAGCTGCTTTGTCAAGGCCAGGTTCTCTTGTCCAATGGACACCCTGAGCCTCGGCCTCCCTTGAGGAGCTGCCATTTGAGGACTGCACAGGTGAGCTTGGGGCCGAGTCAGGAGCGTGAGGTGCCGCCTGGGGCGGGCCTTGGCTCCTGAGAGGGGCCGACCAAGCCAGCCCAGCTGAGCCCCAAGCTCTGAGCCCCTCCAGCCCTCCTTCGAGAGTTCTGCTGCCTCAACTCACCTGTCGTGTCTCCCGGCCCTCCCACCACTCTGCTCAGCAGGGCAAGGACATACAGCCCATCCTGAGACCCTCACCGCACGCAGAGGCCAAGGAGGTAAGCGGGAAAGAGAGGCAGCTGGAGAGGCCAGGCTCCCTCCCTCCCGGGGCTGGAGCCTGAGTCTCCTAGTCTTTCTTCTTGGCCTTTCAGATCCCTTTTGAGAAGAACTGTGGGGAGGACAAGAAGTGTGAAGCAGACCTGGGGCTGTTGTTCTCCTCCGAAGGGTGAGCCTCCAACCCCTGGGCCCTCCTGGGCCACCTGGTGTTTTCCTGAGGCAGCTCCTGGGTGCGGGAAAGAACAGGGCGCTTCCAGTCAGAAGACCTGCGTCTGTACCCACTAGATCGGCCCCGTGGGCCTTCGTTCACCTCTCGGGGAAATTCCAGTCCCTTGGGCACGCCTGTCAGGGTCAGCTGAGGTCGAGTCACTCAAAGCCTGTGCACAGGAGCTGATTTGGGTGTATTCATTTTTTTCTAGCCTAGCAGATCCCTCAGTTCTGACAGCCCCCGCCTCTGATCCTGCTTCCTTCCCCTGGGCCCCTGTAACGTTTCCCTGGTCTTGCCCCCCCCAGATCCAGCGTCCTGCGTCTGACCCCCTCCGCCAGCTTCTCTGTGGAGCTGATACTGAATAACTTGGAAGAGGACGCGTACTGGGTCCACCTCCACCTGAGCTTCCCCCAGGGACTCTCCTTCCGCAAAGTGGAGATGCGCCAGGTGAGCGCCAAGGCAGGGCCTGCCCAAGTCCTCCCTTGTCCCCACAGCTTCTGCTCCCCTCGCAGGGCCTCGGGCAGACAGGACACCCTGAAGATGCGGGCAGCAGCAGGCGTGCAGAAGCCTTGCGCCCACATCCGGGTTCTCAGCCTGATGGCCACCCTCACCCTCCGTGGGCCTCAGATCCCCCACCAGAGAGGCTGGGGACACCCCCAGGGCTAGCGAGAGGGTCACATGGAATGGAGACTGTGACAGAGGCTCGTGGATCTGGTGACCAAGAAGGTATACACAGATTTAGTGAGCTCCGGCTCCCTCCCTCCTAAAGGGGACCAACGTGTTTTTGCGGGGTGGCCTGGGTTGTTTTATTTTATTTATTTTGTTTATTTATTTGACAGAGAGAGACACAGCGAGAGAGGGAACACAAGCAGGGGGAGTGGGAGAGGGGGAAGCAGGCTTCCCGTGGAGCAGGGAGCCCGATGCGGGACTCGATCCCAGGACCCTGAGATCATGACCTGAGCCGAAGGCAGACGCTCAACGACTGAGCCGCGCCACCCAGGCGCCACCAAGCCTGGGTTGTTTTAAATACAACTTTTACTTTGTTAATTCTCAGCACAGAAGTAATACATGATCACCACAGAAAGCTGGAAATCACAGAGAAGTTTAGAGAAGACTATCACCCCATACTCCTACAACTCAGCACTTACTACTTTTAATATTTTGGTGTTTATCCTGCTGTGTATCTACGCACATACATATAAATAACGTTGCATATTCATCCATCCTGTACTTGTTTTTACTGATTGGCAATTTGTTCTCCATTTGGTTATTTTTCCTCCTTGTTTTTAAAACAAATGGCTATAGTGGTAAAATATATGTAATAGCAAATGTACCATTTTAGCCCTTTTCAAGCATACAGTTCAGTGGCATTGAGAACATTCACGATGTTGTGCCACCGGCATCTGTTTGCAGAATTTTTCCATCATCTCAAACAGAAGCTCTCAATCCATTAAAAGCTATAATTCCCCATTCCCCACCCTTCGCCCCTGGTCATCTCTCATCTACTTTCCGTCTCTATGAATTTGCCTATCCTAGATTTTTCACAGACGTGGAATCGTAGGATATTGTCCTCTTGTGTCTGTCTTCTTCGCTTAGCATGCCATTTGTGAGGTGCATCCATGTGACAGCATGGGCGAATTTGCTTTTTAAGTGTAAATAATACTCCATTTTATGGATAGACCACATTTTGTTTATCCGGTCATCTTTCGGTGGACATTTGAATTATTCTCACCCAGCAACATTAAATGCTTCCTCACGGGGCATCTAGTAGAGTGATGTAGAACTCGAGATCCAGAGTCAGACCTGTGTTCACTTTCCTACCAGATCCCTGCCCGATGACCCAGGGGTGGGACCCAGGGAAGTCACCGGACTTCCCCAAGCGTCTGTTTCCTTATCGAAGTCCCTCCCCGATCTGAGGCTGAGATCCGTCCTCACAGATGATGATGAAGATGAATGGTTCTATGCTGCTTAGCCCAGGATCAAGGCTCGCGCTCACTTTATTTTTTTTTAAAGATTTTATTTATTTATTTGAGAGAGAGAGAATGAGAGATAGAGAGCACGAGAGGGAAGAGGGTCAGAGGGAGAAGCAGACTCCCCGCTGAGCAGGGAGCCCGATGCGGGACTCGATCCCGGGACTCCAGGATCATGACCTGAGCCGAAGGCAGTCGCTTAACCAACTGAGCCACCCAGGCGCCCTCGAGCTCACTTTTAAAAATGGTTGCTGACTGTGTAGATTTCACTGTATCCTCGCCTGGGATTGTTCAGAGCACCGAACTCTTCCTAGCTCTTTGAACTATTGGATCACTTCTGGATTTTCACAATTATACATAGCATTGCGGTGAACATCTTTGAATGAAGCCTCTGGCTGTGCCCCTGATTCCCGCCCCCCACCCTGAGAATATGCCCTGGCAGGGACAGAGCAGGGGGACGTGGGCCCTGAGGGTTGGTGGCCTCCGGGAACCTTGGCCTTGCCCACTAAGAAATCTGTTCCTTCTCTTCTCACCCGCAGCCCCACAGCCAGATACCTGTGAGCTGCGAGGAGCTTCCCGAGGTATCCGAGCTTCTGACCAGGATCCTCTCTTGCAATGTGAGCTCTCCCATCTTTAAAGCAGGTAGCTTGGTAAGTGCCTCAAACCCTGAGGAGCCAAGCCGCCGCTGCCGAGGGGCTCTGGGCTGAGGTAGGGAGGGAAGGGTGCAGGTGATGGGTAAAGAAGCTCCCCCCTCCTACCCCAAAGGGAATGACAGCTTGGACTTTGGAATCAGACAAATCTGGGGTTGGGTTATTCACTTTGTGACCTTACATGCAACTTAAATGTTTGGAACTTTGGATCCTCATCTGTACAATGGGGATAAAACACCTATTTATGGGGCCAAATAACAGTGGTTCCCGGTGTCACAGCAGTTGGGCTTGGGGGCCCTGAAGTGCTTTCCTCCTCATTGCCCTCTCCTCCCCTGCCAGGTTGCCATCCAGGTGATGTTTCATACGCTGCTGAACAGCTCCTGGGGGGACTTTATCGAGCTGCACGCCAATGTGAGCTGGTGAGCAGGCCCCAGGCAGGCGCCCCGGCTCGCAGACACCCGCGCGGTCCTGGCCACGCGCTTCTCCTAATGCTGCCCTCTGCCTTGCCCCTGTGTAGTGACAATGAGGACTCAGACGTCTTGGGGAACAACTTGGCCACCACCAGCATCCCCGTCCTGTACCCCATCAACATCCTCACTGAGGAGTAAGTCCTGAGCAGCCTACCAGCCCTTTCCTCCCACCTCCGCCTCCCCCACCCAGGGCTCAGCCTTGCCTCCCGGGGCTCTCCTTCAGAGCCACCTCCTTTCCTCTGGCCCCCCAGGGGTCATTAGACCTGATTCCAGCCATAACCCCAAGAGTTTTCAACACCCCAAAGAGTGGAGGCCCTTTAGGAGTTCTGAGATCAATTGTTTACTGATGGAAGAAAAAGCACACGGAGTGTTGACCTTATTTCAGACACTGTGCTCGTCGCAGTGCGCAGCTGGGGCCTCCCCTGGAGCTTTCAGCCCCTCGGGGGGCAGCTGTGCCTCTTTCCACATTACCGGGGAACAGGCAGGCTCAGAGGAGGGAGGAACTCACCCCGAGTCATACAGCTAGGAAGCACCGATGCTGGCATCCGAATTTGGGTCTCTCTGACTCCAGAACCCCGTGCTAGATGCCCCCCGCTTCCTGGGGGCCAGGAGCGCTGGGAGAGAGAAGGAGAAACTGTTCGCAATGGCTCTTGCCCACAGAGAGCTCATGGTCAGGTAGGAGAGGCCAAGCTCATGCGAACACAGAATCAGTGAGTCTCACAAGGTTATGGCGGGAAGGACCCATGGGGATCCCCAGTTGGATTTTCTCATTTACAGAAAAGAGGATGAAGCCCAAAAAGTGGAGTAGCTTTCTCAGTTTGGCTCAGTGAGAGGGGGACAGGGACAGTGACTGAGCCAAGGTCTCTGGTGCTTTTGAAGGCAAATGCCAAACACAATGATATGATCTGGAGTGCGATATGAAATTAGAGCCAGGAGAGGTGATTTGGGTTGGAGGAGAGATGGGAGGGTTCATGGGGAAGTAGGGGCTTAAACTGGGGTCTGGGGAATGAGGGGGTTCAGATAAGGGCCAGGGAGGAGGAAGGACGTTCTCCAGAGAGAGAGAGAGAGAGAAGAGCATAGACGAAAGGAAGCAGCCAGCAGTGGGGTGGATTTGGGGAGCAGGGAGCGTGCAGGCGTGGGGGACTACAGCTGTGTGGGGGGTGCAGCAGGCAGGACTGGACATGTGGGGCTGTGGGTCTGACCCTTATAGGCAGCAGGGGGCCATCGGCGGATTCCGAGTAGGCAGGTGGCAGGATCAGACAGTGACGTTGGGAAGGTCGTTGGAAGGATGGGATGGCGAGGAAGCCAGAGGCTGGTGCCATTATGCAGGAGATGAGGGACCCAGAAGACAGTGGAGACCCTCGTGAGGTGGGGACCCTGTGTGGCAGGGAGCACACAGCTCCAAAGGCACATCTGCCTGGGTTCCAGCCCTGGCCCTCCATGGCAGGACACTGGACAACAGACAGACCCCTTCCACGAGCCTTACTTTCCAAAGGGAAATAGCAGAGCGCTGGAAGGTTACATGAGAGCAAGGCTGCGTGGTCCCTGGGAGTCCCCTCTGAAGCTTCCCCTGGCCCGAGCCCCTGCCCTGCTGGAGATTGGGTCCTGGTCTTCTCTTTCTACTTCTGCTCTTCCCTCTCTCCACAGCAAGGAAACCTCCACACTGTATGTCAGCTTCACCCCCAAGGGCCCCAAGAGACACCTTGTCAAACACTTCTACCAGGTATGAACCTCCGCGTGAAAAGGCCCTTCTGGGTCACACAGTTTCCAGCCCCATCCTGAGGAAAGTGCAGAGGCTGCAGACACAAGCCCCATCCTTGGCGAATCCGGCGCCCTCCGCCTCATCCCGTGATCCTTTCTAGAGCTCCTCACAGCCCCCACGGAAGTGCCTCCGGCTCGTTTCCAGCACTGGATCCTTTGTGGGATCGCAGAGCTTGAGAGCCAGAAGCACTCTGAGAGAGAACCTAGATTTTCATTCACACGTTTAATGAGCCACAGGTCTAGTCTAGGTACTTTGCTAGATGCTGGGGCAGCAGGTAAGTCAGTCAGGGCCCCTGACCCAGTTCTCTGCCTGGTGCTTTATATACGTGACCCCACGCCCCCGTGATTCTCATCCCAGAAGGTAGAGGCGTGGCCATTCCCAGCGTACAGATGAGACATCCACAGCACAGAGAGGCCGAATAACTTGCCAGGTTACACAGCCACTAAAGGGGAAAGGTCAGATTCCAGCACTCACTGGAATACCAAATTTCATGTTTTAACCTCTCCGTTAATGATCTGTCACTTCTCATGCCATATGCTCGGGGCTGTAATAGTAATCTTCATGGGAACAAAGAAGAGGGAGGCCAGCCCCTGAGACTAAAGCTCCAGGAGTCTAAGGCCTTTTTAGAGGTAACCTCAGAGAGGAGTAGGCACTGACTGTGCAGAAGGCATTCTTGTTTTCCCATGGAGGAAACTGAGGCCCCAAAGAGAAACTGTCTTTGCCCAAGACCGTGTTGGCGTCAGGGCAGACTGGGGCAGGAACCCAGCAGGAGAGGGACCCCAGGCAGGTAGCCCGTTTAGAACAGAGGCTGGAGCCATCTCCTCTGGAATCAATGATGGAGGAGAGGGACCCTTGGGGAGGTCGGATGCCCATTTGCATAGAGAATGGCCAGTAGGATTGGTTTCTAGTGCTGTTCACTGGGATGCCTCTGGGTTCCCCAAGGAGATTGCCAGACTAGCCCTTTTGCCAGCAGAATAGTGGGGAAGACTTGGACAGGCCTGGATCCAAGCCTCAACTCTACCCCTGGATCTCTGTGTGACCTTGGGCCAAGGGCTTAACTGTCCATGCCTCAGTTCCCTGCTGTGACAAATGGCATTTGGAACGAGAGCTTGTGGGTGTTGTGAGGTTGAAGTGGGGTACTTACTCCCCGTGGAGTGCTTGGCCCAGTGCCTGGGGAGTGGAGGCTGTTAATGGCTGAGGCGGGTCTTGGGCCTCAGCCTGGAGATTCCACAGCGACTGTGGAAGCCTGCCTCCCTTCTTGCCCCGCTCGTCTGGGAGCCAACTCAAACCTTTTGTGCTCCCACCTGTCCCCACACCCCATTTCTCTCTCTTTCGGGATAGTCATCAGGGCCAGATGCCTCCGGCCACCTCCAGCCACCTCAGCACCCTCCAGCATCTTAAGCTCTGCATTTGGCCCCCTGCCTCCTGGCCCACCGTGCAGCCACTCTTGCTAAAGGCCCTAATGATGTCTGTTTTAATGAAACCCAACTAGGCGTGGGACACTGGGGATCTTTCCCTCCTGCCGGAAGCTCTCCTGTTAGTTGCCACAGGGAGGTCAGCTCGGGTCTGTTATGAGCTCAACAGGCATGGTAATCCAGTGAGAGCTGGGCAGCCAGCCCATGGGGTCTTCTTCCTCATGGCCTGCCTCTCCCCTGGCCGGTTAGGCGTACAGGCTTCTGCCAGACCTGAAATCTTTTTAAAGCTCTGCCATTTCAAGCTGTGTGGCCTTGGGCAGTTCACTTAACCTCTCTGAGCCTCAGTTTTTCAATTGGTAAAATGGGGATGATAACCGCACCTACTTTAGGTGGGTCCATCATCCAGGGAAGGTGATAGAACACAGCCCATCCAGTCTCTGGAGGCGCAGCCTGGGTTCAGATGCCCGCTCTGCTCCCCGATCACTTCAGACAAATTCTTCTCCCTGAACCTCAGTCCTCCCCTCTGTGACACGGGGACAGTGCTGCCCGCCACAGACACCAGCACTTGGCGAGAACCACGGGAGGCCCAGCAAGCTGAGCGTTCAGCAAATGGCAATCGTTCTTACGTGCGTCTCCCCACACGCCCCATCTTCACTGCCGCCGGCATGGGTTCCCACAGTTCAAGTCCCCCTCCCAGCTCACAGCTCCGCACCACGACCCTCCTGCTCCCCCAGCGGGCCTGGCCCTGCAGCCTGTCACTGCTCTCCGCCCAGATGCCCTCGAGCGTCTTTTTCCGCCTTTTAACAGCTTTATGATAGAATGAGATACAACTCACAGTCCATACGATCTACCTGCTTTTTTAAAAAAAGATTTTATTTCAGAAAGAGCACACAAATTGGGGGGGGCGCAGAGGGAGAGGGAGAAGCAGGGTTCCCGCTGAGCAGGGAGCCGCAAAGTCGGGCTTGATCCCAGGACCCTGGGATCGTGACCTGAGCCGAAGGCAGACACTTAACCGACTGAGCCACCCAGGCGCCCCTGATTTACCTGCTTTTAAAGTGTACAAGATCAGGGCGCCTGGGTGGCTCAGTTGGTTAAGCGACTGCCTTCAGCTCAGGTCATGATCCTGGAGTCCCGGGATCGAGTCCCGCATCAGGCTCCCTGCTCAGCGGGGAGTCTGCTTCTCCCTCTGACCCTCTCCCCTCTCATGCTCTCTCTCTCGCTCTCAAATAAATAAAATCTTTAAAATAAATAAATAAATAAATAAATAAATAAAGTGTACAGATCAGGGGCACCTGGGTGGCTAAGTCCCTTAAGGGTCTGACTTTGGCTTAGGTCCTGATCTTCAGGGTCCTGGGGCCCCCTGCTCAGCGGGGAGTCTGCTTCTCCCTCTCTGCCCCTCCCCCTGCTTGTGCTCTCTTTGTCTCTCTCTCAAATAAGTAAATAAAATCTTTTAAAAAAATAATAAAGCATATGGTTCAGTGGCTCTTAGTATATTAGTAAAGTTGTACAATCATCACCACAATCTAATTTTAGAAGATTTTCATTATTCCGGAAAGAACCTCTATGTAGGGGAGGAATCCCACCTGTCCCCACACCCCATTTCTCTCTCTTTCGGGATATGAGGTCTTTTGTGACTGG